GGCGAGAATTACAGCAAAAGGTCACAAACATTACAAACAATATAAAAGCTTAAAAAAAAATAAAACTAATTTAAAATAATTCTCTCGAGGACTGCCATCAGAGAGTCAAGATTTCAAATATAAAATTTCTTTGTATTTTATTTTGAAATTGTGGTATTAAATTGTTTTTTCAAAGATTTTTTCGGTCAATGTTCCTGACTCAAGGTAGTAATAATTAAATTCAAGAATGCATGATCGGTTTTGCTCCAAAATTAACCGTTTAGGTTTGGTTTTACAGCCTATCAAAGTCACTTTTCGGGGTATTGGATGTGAGATGCACGCAAGAGAAGTGGCTTCATCGGCATCCCAAAACATAACATTATTTAAAAAATTCGAATCGTTTGGATCGTAACATTTTCTCATCATTGTGTCTGCAAACTCTTCACGATAAACCGGCAGAGCTCTATGAAGCTTCTCAGTTCGTGTTTGTTCTTTGCTCTGAGCCAATCTCGTAATGCCTCGACTGTTTCTTGATTTATTTACATTCCTTTACAAGATAAAGCACATGTTCAAGGAAGCTCACTTTTTCTTGGAACAGAAAGGACACACAACTTTGGATTCAAATCAGAAGTACTTTACTGCCCAGAAAAACAAAAATCATTGACAAAACATATCAACCTAAATAATAAAATAATGAAACTTAATATCAATAAGAAAAATTAAAAATTTACCAACGTTGAAAATACGTTCACAAAGTCTCCCCGAAGAGTTCTTCAACATTAGGCTTTAGTCAAGAGTATAACTGCCTTAACCCTGTTCTAAACCTCTCGTAGGAACGTGAAGACCTACCGCTAAATGGTAGAAAATTGATGGCTTTATCAGCAAAATAAACAAAAGACTTCTTCACCAATGTGCTTATGGGAATTCGTAGTGGAATAATATAAGCTTGCCAAGTGTAATAGTGCTTTGCCAAAGAAAGTTGGTCATTGTCCTATAGACCCGGCAAACACTTTCGAGTATGTATATAAGCATGGCACAGTTAATATTATATGAGAAATTAAGCTAGGTTTGCAAGATTGTCGGAAGAGAACTTTGAGCATATACCTATGGGATTTAAAAAAAATATATATGAAGTTGAAATTAGTAGTAGATACTGCAACAGCCCCAAAATGCAATTCTATAAGTGACTTCACCCGAGAAAATATGCGGTCCTGACAGCTCACAGCTCTAAAGGTAGGCGGCCACTGCGAGCGAAACGAAACTAAGCTGTGCTAGAAGAAACTAACGGCAACTGAACTTAACTAAGTTTGAGCGGCCACTGGGAACGATTTTCGTTTAGTTCTCAGCTGAGTTTTCATGCGGAAAGACCTATAAATTCTTTTAAAAAGTTAGAATGAGTCCTCTTGCAACAAAAATGGATATGTATTCAAAGTCAGCATCTGTAGAATCATACTTTTTATGTGCAAACACAGTGGAAAGTAAACAAATAATAAATTCGCAACGAAAAACTTCGTTCGAATCTGACACGAGCTAAATCGAACGAAACGAAACTAAGATTTTAATCTTCGTTGACAAATCTTCGCTTAGTTTAGCTAAAATGGCCGAGGATATATTTGAGAGTATGGTAAAAAATTTACTGAAAACTTATCTTCGCTTAGCTTCGTTTCGTTCCGCTCGCAGTGGCCGCCCGCCTTAACTGGTCTGAGAGTACTCTCAAAGCATAACAGCTAGATGATAACCTACTAGAGTTAGAGAATGCCACAATATGCTGCTCAAACTTGATACTCTCGTCCACTGTAACTCCAAGAAAGTTAGCACAGGTGGTGGGATGAATGAAATCACCACATAAGGAGATGTTGGGATAATGTGCACTTGAGGTTTAACGAAGTAGTCTTAGATATGTTAAAGGATAGATTGTTGTTGTCGCACCAGGTTGATATTAATCATGCGTTTCAAGAATTTTCCAGTGTTCGGATGCCAAACAATGGACTTGTCGTCAGCGAAAAGTCTAATGGTACCCCGGCTCTAAGAGAGGCTAGATCTTTAATATAGATCAAGAACAAAAGGGGCCAAGGATAGAGCCCTGAGGCACACCGCAGCTGTTGGCTGTTGCTCATTTTATCCGAAAGCCCGCTCCTATATTATGAAACTATCTGCTCACAATCACTTAAGTATATACGACTGAAGCCAATTTAGAGTTACACCTCTAAAACACTTCAAGCCTACGGAGCAACAAAAAATGACACTGATGCTGAAAGGTGATTCTCATTTGTACTCAAATAGATATCTTCCAAAAAGGAGAATATCGCATCAAATGTTCCTTTAGCTCCAATGTGGCGGCAGTTAAATTGATCATCGAAGAGGGACCTGTTTAGATTGATGAATGAAAGAACTCTAATTTTGACCAGTTTCTCATCAGCTAACGAAGTGAAGAAATAAGAGAAATATGAAAGAAATTTGCTGGAGAGTCTGAGTCTCTTCCCTTGTGAAGAAATACAACCACTGCATGCTTAAGCAAGGAAATATACTCTTATCAAAGAAATCATTTATTATATCTCCAAGTCCACGAAAACCCCTTTCGTTATGATGAAGTAAATTGGTTAATGGATATGTCATTATAGCTTGACAATTTTTTGTTTTTGAAGGTTATAAGGATTTCTTTGATCTCAGGAACATCGATTGTTGCCATGAAGAAGGAATTTGAGACATTCTTGTCTGTCAAATAGTCTATAGGATTGACCCCGGGGTCGAGCTGGGAAGAAAGCAATATTTAGATTGTTAGGAAACAGGTTGGATGAAGAGACCTGCGGGCGAGAACTTTTACCTCTTATTTCATTGATAATAGACCATGCCCCCTTTTGAGTGTTATTAGAACTGCAAATTCGTAGGCTAACTTAAAGTTCCTTTGCAGCTTCAATTAGCCTTCTATAAATAATTAGATGCGTAAACAGGGAGATTAGACACTTTTACGGAATAACTTTCTGAGATAGTGCAGATATCGCATGTTTCTTCCTGATTCCTCTGGTAAGCCATCCCTTGCCACCATTTTATCTCTAATTGTGACGATAGGAATGGCTTGATTGAATGTTTTGGTCAAGGCACTGTGAAAAGAATATAGTGAGTTCCCGGACTCAGGAGATAGCCAAACAGTCCCCTTTATAGAGATTGCGAAACCGTCTCATGTTCAGAAAGTGAAGTATTCAAAACCTTACAAGAGATATTGTCAAAATTAGAACAAACATAATCTAAAGTCGAAGCGTTGGTATCAGATATCCTAGTTAGTTCCACAACACGCATAATTAGATAGAAATTCATTAAAATGTTTTGAATTGAATTTCGTGTATTGGGAGCATTGTAATCAATATGAAGATACCCAATCAGAACAGTCGAGGCAAGAGTGGGGATTTGATTCAACAACACCTCGAAACCAGTCAAAAACTCTCTCAAACAAGACATATAGGAGCGGTCATACAAATAACATAAACATTCAGTATGCTGCAGTGAGTCATAGATACTTTTAAAGTTTTAGAATTATCTATGACTCACTCAACTATTAAATGATCAAAAATTGAACTTATTTTCTGCCGTTTGGCTCATCAGCAGCATAGTGCCTCTATGAATAAAGTACGATCTACAAAATTTTGAAATAAGGTTATAATCGCGTAAATGAATGGCTTCACCAAGGCTAAGCCAATGTTCTGTAGGGCATTCTAAGTTCGGAAATTTTAATAACCCAGAACAAAAATTTCTTATATGAGATTCTGTATTTTGCTTAAATTGATGTTATGCATTTGAAAAGCTTTATAAAGCCATAAATTGCTGTGATAAGCTGGTCATAACCAGGATATTTGTGTGGGGAAAGAGTGCAATTATTTAAAATAGAAGACGAAGAACAAATACCACTCAACCACAAAATCACTAAATCTTTAAAATTGAAGTGATGTACCAGCGACGACGCAGTCTTTTCCAGTTTGTGCTTGTACTACCAGGCTTCAAAAAGCACTGCACATTAATTGTAGTCATCTTCCAATTTGAAACGCAAATGCTTCAGGAATTTCACTAACAGGGAGAAGTTTTGGTCGGTTGCCAACAAATTTAACATGCCCAGAACAGCACCTGTGCTGAGTTCACATCTGCTGGAATGTTAGTAGGATGGGATGGGGGATCTGTTGATTGTTTTTCAAAAGACCGTTTTCCACCAGGTGAAATTTTTTTTTCAGCTTCAAGAACTTAATTTCAAGGAACTAATCATATGTTCATTCATAACAGTTAATTCCTCCACATCATTACATAATGAATTAAGATCTTGCTCATGTGCTACGATTTTCCTTCTCAATTGTGTTTATGTTGATAATAATGCCATTATTTAAAGAATTTAGTTCATTTCGTTTCTCTTTTTCCAAAGATTTTACAAGCAACAGGAGCTCCCTTTCTTTCGTTTTCAGATTGGAAATTTCATTAGTTAACTGTTTCATGTTTATCCTTTTCTTTTATCTCCTTAGGTAAATCATTCATTTTCTCCTCATGGACCTTTGTTATGTTTTCTTCATCATTAAAGTTGGATTGAAATCTTGCTGAGCATATGATTCAGCTGGTTATGTAATGTTTAGCTTTTTCAATTTGACACTTTCCATGTGAGAAGCGAGGCGGAGGAAGAATACAGCAAAAATAGGTGTGAGGTCAGGTGACCATTGGCGTGCTTACGTAGGGAGCCACCAACTTCTATTGCTTTGGAGTATCAGATTATAAAAGTAGGACTGTAGGTTGGTACCTACTTGGAATCCTAGCAAAATCTTTCCTCGAATAAAGGTGTCGAAATCTTGGCCAATCACCATGACATCATCTAGCATTACTAAGCGTGACTCCCGCTTCTCTTTATCCTCTTTTGACAAAAAAATCACGCACACGAAACTATGTCGTGTACCTAGTACTGTTCTAGAATTGTTCAGATTATTCGCTTCCATTCGTTTGGTATTTCAAAATAATGAAATGGAAATTATTGAGAAAAAATACAAACAATTGTTAAATGTTTAGATTTATTTTAGTATTAGTACACAGAATGCATGTAATAACTTATTCCAATTTTCTTATTATTTAAACACTAGCAACAACAAAGGTTTTGTACAAAAGATAAGCTAAATTAGAGAATACCTAACAGCCGCATTTTATAAAATATATGTTTTTTGGATTTTCTATTTTTGGCTTTCGCTTATAAAAACCCTATTCAATTTAATCAATTCCAACAATGGAACTAAAATAATATAAAAATATAACAACACATAGATAATGGGTGTTTTCAAATAAATATAGGTAGTTTATTGAATTTCTTGAACAAAAAGGAGAAAGTTTGCTATATTGAAATCGTTTCTTTTTTCCTCCAAAACGCCATCGTGTCAAGGAAGCAAGATTCGATCTTTCGCCACTGTGTTTTTTGATAATACCATTTGTTTAGAATAGTATGAAGAAAACAATTTTGTATTCCATGTACCAATTTATTGAAACTTAGCTTAGTAGAGCGCTTGCCAGGTTCCGACACAAAAGTCAAAACTGTAAAAGGGCAACGATAACGAGGACAAAAAAAAAATACCTCGTCGTCGTTATCCTTTTACAATTTCAACTTCTGTGTCGGAGCCTGACATAAGTAGAACTGATGATGGCGAAAGCCGAAAGCGCTCTACAGTGCTAAGTTTCAATCAACTGAATTGTTCATGAAATACAGATTGCTTCCTTCCTACTATTTAGTGAGAGTAGCAGAAGGAAATAGAAAATTAAATAAATAGAAGAAAGGAAATGACTAGAAAAAAAATCACAAAAGTCAAAATGCTTAGTTCTTTTATCAGCTCACTTATACCTATAATTTTTAGAAAATTATTAATTTTAATAGTTCCGACTTTCAAATAATTTTAATATTACTACACTACCAATCATCATTCAGTCTCCTTTTATACACATTTTTTTTTCAGTAAAAACTTTCAAAACCTGAGAAATAAATTTTGATCATTACATAATACATATTCAACATCAATATAATAATTTACAATATTTTTTTTTTAGTTAGGATTTTCTTTTTTGATTTTCTACGCTAAGTCTTTTATTAATACCCTTACATTTTGCGTATATATTGCACAAAAACTACGTTTTACGGGTTTACTGAGCTTAGATTAAGACATTTAAATACAATTTTTTGTATCTACAAGACTAGGTATAAAAGGTGCATAATTATTATGTCGACCAAAGCAAAATAATTACCTAATTTGAATTTCTAACCATGTATTAGTTAGTGATAGTGATATAGGCATCGAAAAGATATGCAATAATTGCAAAATCTCTGTTAAATCTGATAATATGTATTTATGTAAGTACAAATTAAAGTGGATTCAGGAATTATTTGAAAAATATTGAATCTGATTAAAGGAATATTAATTTTCCTAATCCATGTAGCTACTGTACTTAAACATATGATGAGTTCTCAATAATTAGGTATTATTGTTTTTTTTTAGTTCCAAAAGACTCTGTATTAGGATATGAAGCTTTTAAAATCTATAGTTTTATGATAAAATTGATAAGTATTTAGGATAGGTAATTATTAAAATAAAACTTATGTTCTATGTTCTGCTATCAATAGTCGGTTGCATTTCGCTAAAATCCAATTCTTCGTCATCATCAGCAAAACGTATGTCATCTAAAACGCTACTATTTACACTCGGAGACTTTTCCACTTTTGTTTCTTTTTCTATTTCCTGCGGCGGAAAAGGTCGAAGTTTTCTTGGAAACTCGTGCATTTGAATTTTAACTTTTTTCTTGTCCAATTTTTCGGCTCTGTCCAGGTACTTGTTGTCCATAACTAAAAATTTAGTAGTGATTAGTAGCATATGTCTTTTACTGGAACCCATTATTTTTTTACCTTTAGAAGAATTTTCTCCGTGCACCAATGGATAAACTCTTTTCATCTTTTTTTTTGAAACTTGTGGTGAAGCTATGGTACTTTCACTCACTGATCTTCGCCGACATTTGACTGGCAAAATTTCATCTTCTGGCGATTCTTTATTACTTCCCGGGTTTATATAAACTTTTGGTCTGATATCTGCCATTTCGTGACATTCAGAAGCTTCATCTTGGGGCAGAATTTCACCCGACTCGTCCAAAGGTGGTATCCATACTAAAAATGCTGGATCCATTCCTGAAATAATTGGATTTTTATTATAATACAGTTTGTAATAGTGACTTCAGTTACCAAGGTATGATCCAGGAGCCGCTCCAGCATTCACAACATTATAATCGTAATAATCAATTTCTAAATCATTATCATGGCCTGCAATAGAAAACTCAGATCCTCCATGGCCTGCTAGTAGTTTTTCTCTGTTTCTTTTGTCTTTTGTAGCTTTTGCGTTGGTACTCCTTATAGTGGCCGTACTAACCATACTTGCTATTGAAGAGTAACAGCCCTAAAATATTGTAAAGGATGTTATAAAACCTGTATGATTATATTTATTTAATAGTTTTATTTTATAGGTCTGTTGCACATAACACACAATTTTCTGTTAAGTTAATGTGCTGTAAAAATATCCTTGTGAAGTATAAAGCAATAAAATATACTCAAATAAATAGCAATTTTCATTGTACACATTCATCAAGAAATTAAAAATCTGAGGCTTAAAATAAGTAAACTGTGTAAATTGTTTGAATATTGATAAATAAGAAACGCAAGTGCTGGTGCAACAGGACAATCGTGCAAATGTGTATATGTATAAAATGTTTTTTTCATTGTGCAAAATCAAAATAAATGCAAATAAAAAAAAAATACTCCACCGGATCGCTTTTAGAGCACATTTCTTCATCGCTCACGTTTGTCAGAGTAACGTTGCTAACTCTCCTAACCATATCCATTTCTTTTGGTGATTTCAAATCTTTTTCGTTTGATCTATCTTTTTCACTAAGAGTTGACGATCTTCTAACAAGTCTCCATTCACCTCTAGGTGAAGTTGGCAAACTACTATCTGGAGTAATTTCATCGGATTCAGGATTTGCTAAAGTTGGCAACGTTGTGACTGTGGTCTCGTTCTGGGCTGTAAGTGTTGCTGTACTGCCTGTTGGTGAGTCTTCTTCTTTTCTACATGGGTATACAAAAATCATTTTAATAACAGAAACCTTACTCTTTCAAAATAGGTAACAATCGAACTTGATCATTTAACACTGCATATAGACAAGATTAATGACATGTTCAGCTTGCCTGGAAACCTTGCCCCTCTAAGTCAACAAATCGTATAGAAGGAAAATCTTTTCAGGGACTTTAAATGCTTGTTCTGGTGTTTATTGTAGGCGGAAAATCTAAAAATGTATTGAAGCTTTCATGATGAAAAGCATTGTAAGCAGCAGAAAAGCTTCTTCACCATCTTTATCCCGAAAAGGTGTCGTTAATGATAATGGGCAAAATTTTATATCGAGGGATCTACAGAGATTTTCTACCAAAAAATACACAAAAACAATAACTTCATTCCAACAAGGCATCGGTGCCAGTTGTTGTAACAAACTCAAATAATCAGTCTGCTTAATTATTATTCTATAAGCATTGAGAAAACGGAAGTTTGAAGTTGGGGAAGTGCCTCCATTGGGTATAAACAAAAATTAATCAAATCAAATTAAAACCTTTACATCCGTGAAGATAATAATTACAAATACAGAAACGAGAAACCAATAAAAAGATGCATCTGCTTGCAAATGGTCAAACAGCATAACATGGAAATGACACACAGCGAAATAATGTATAAAGATGTGAAGCAACGTAATATGGAAAAGTTTTTATAAAAACTTCTAGAGGACCTATTGAATCGATTAATGTCATCATTACAATTATTGTTAATTCAATGTAAATACCAGTATACATTTCAGTGTACAGCGATATTAAGAGAATTTGTGCCTCAGGATAAAAGAGAATGACAAAGTTTGGGAAAGATAGGAGTTTTTCCAGCAGGGAACAGAATGAGGTGATCAGTCTATGGTGATAATAATGATGATAGAGTTATATGAAAAGTCGGATAAACGTCGCTAGAACGTTACCAGGAGTTCTCAGCTTGGCTGTCTTGATTGAATGTTTTGTTATAAATATTCACGTGTTCAAGTACAAATTATTGCGAATCACATAAGACAGTTTATTTATTAGAAATTACGAAATTGCCTTGGGAGCCCGGTTGGATTACGAGAATTGCAATTGTCTGAGCGTTTTTCGAAAAATTGGAATGTCGCTTGAGGTCAGAAAATGTCTCAGCCTCGTCTGACCCTGGTAATAAAGCTGAGCCACCACCATATAACAGACTGACATCGTGGGCCATGTATACTCGTGGCCATTGGATTTGGCACAAACTTTTTGAACGCTCTCTGTATAAGGCCAAAATTGACACAATTTTGTCATTGACGGCTTGTTAAAAAAGTCAGATTTTGATGCAATAGGAGGTGCGTTCAAAAAGTTTGTGCCAATTCCAATGACTACGAGCAATGAGCCACGACTGTACAAACATCAATTCGAGACTGTTGCAATGACTAAAGCATTGCGTGGCCCTGCCTTAGACCTATTAGGGCCGGTTTATCAATCAAGGAATAACTCGTAGAGTTTGCTGACCCTGGGTCATCTCTACACTGGGCTAACTACCTAGGACCGAATTGATACTTGCTCCTTTGAGGTTTCCTCAGACCTTAAGGAAGCCTTGAACATTGTCAAATACCTATAGTAGAAGTGTCCATTCTAAGCTCACGACCTCCAAGGACAACTCAAGCAACGACTATAAATTCGGACCCTAGTTACCTACGTCAAAAAGTGTTTATACAAGCTTTTCTAACCCAGCGGCGCTGGTAAACTCTCGGATTTTTCGGAGGTTGGCATTACTTATATGCAACGTTGCCAGCTCACTTTTGTCAATTTTTTGACATATTCCATAACCTTACTTTTTATGTTATTTTTCTCTGTTTCCGTAGGGAAAAGGTAGGTTTCGTGTATTCTGTGTGAAAATCTGTTGTTTTGTCATGAAGAGGTGGGAATCTGACTGTTGGAAATTCGAGTATAGGCTTGATTGGTTCTAGAACAAATAAAATTGTTTCTTTACGTAAACGGAAACGTGCGAAAAAGTCGACGACTTGAAAATCTTCAAAGGGATTTGACCGCAACGTCCGCAACCTAACGTGGTAGGGGCGCCGCTTATGTTCTAGAAACTCTACAACATCTCGATCATCATCACTAAAATCAAGGTCCTCCTCTTAACAATATCAAAATTTAAGCTACAACCACCACTTTTTAAAAAAATGCATATAAAATTACAGAAAATTTTGAGTTTAACCAAGCTGGAAGAGTCACAACTTTGACCCAGGGTTATCCCTTACTCATGGGCTAACCCTCTATTGATAAACCAGCCCTTAGAGAATCTTCCGCTAGCTTTCCAAAAACACTATGGTGCTTGTCGATGTGTTAGATCGTCGTAATAATAAAAATAATTAATAATAATGATCACGCCGAGGACGCGCAACTCGTAGATGGGAGCATCCTACGACATCTGGATGCCGGGGAGACTTATACTTACCTGGGTGTTCCTCAGGGACACATCCAGGATAGTGTCCGCGACAAGTATCAGCAGCGATTGAGACAGATCTGAAATTCAGAGCTGTCTGGAAAGAACAAAGTCGCTGCTACAAATATGCTTGCCGTCCCACTACTCACTACTCCTTTGGAGTGATAAAGTGGAATGTAAATGAGTTGCGTGAAATTGACGTAAAAACCCGTAAGATGATGACGCGATGCCGAAGCCATCATCCTAAGGCGTCTGTCCAACGGATTTACTTCCCACGTTATCAGGGAAGCCGTGGACTCTTAAGTTTGGAGTGTCTGCATAGACGGTTGGTCCTAAGTACCACGTGCGGAGTAATCAGAGACGAGGATCCCCTGCTATGCATGGTGCGTGACCATGAAACATTTGGGGTGGGGGCATTTCTTTTTAAGGCTGCACAAAGGGCAGCGGATGAGCTCCAAATAGTTTTCGACAAGAGTTGGCGGCAGGGAAACTCTATTACAGAGTTTACCAGCCAAAGACTTAAAACCACCTAAAAGAGTGCAGAGGTAGACTCTTTAGTACGTCTACATATAGATAAGCCATTGCACAGTGTTTTCTTCAAAACCATTGAAAACACTGGCTTATCCAAAAAGCTAAGCTTTGCATTCTTGAGGTCTGGTGCATTAAAGTCGAAAACTGAGGGGTTTATCATTGCTCGCCAAGATGGAGTCATCAACACTGCCATAGGGCGCCGGAGACCTTATATCATCTGCTATCTGCTTGCGGACGGTATGCGGTCTCGGCGTATATCCATCGACATAATGCAGCGTTACGGGTGCTGTATTACCACCTAAGGCACTCGTACGGTGTTGATGACACTCCAGTGCTACCATATGTCCCCTTTGATGTTCCGTCCGTAGTGGAGAATGACAGAGCCAGAATATACTCGAATTTCGCATTCCCCACTCTCCGGCTTGTAAAAGCTAACAAGCCGGATATAGTACTCCTTGACAAAAATGACAAAATTATGTATGTCATTGAGTTCTCGGCTCTTGCCGAGACGAACAATATTGCCAAGGAGGAAGAGAAACGGACGAAATATCAGGATCTTCTCTTTGACCTTCGCCGAATGTACCGAGGCTATACAGTCAAGCTAGTGGTTTTGGTGATTGGGGCTCTTGGAGGTGCACGACAAACACTGCTCTCGGCTCTCAAGACCTTGCCAGTATGTCGTGATAAAGCGGAACACCTTGCTGGCACGATGCAGAAAGCGGTAATCCTGGGATTATTGCGTCTACTCAGAGCGCACGATGCGGAACACCGTTTCTACTAACCTTGCGGTTGGTGGGGAGTAGAACGGTGGATGGAACACCAGGCCTACTTGCACCCGTGTAAGTGTCGGAGCCGCGGGACCGTAAGTAAGGCCAACCCCAAAAAAAAAAAAAAAAAAAAATAATAATAATAATAATAATAATAATAATAATAATAATAAAATCCTAGCAGAGGAACAAAAAGGCTGCGTTAAAAAAGCTCAGGGGTGTAAGGAACAGCTGCTGATTGACACAGTGATCGTTGAACAAGCGCTGAAGAAACAAAGACACTTTTTCACAGCTTACGTGGACTATAGGAAGGCATTCGACTCGGATCCGCATGCATGGCTTGTCAGGGTCTTACAGTTTTACAAGCTTTAACCCGCGATAATTAAGCTTTTGGAGTGTCTGATGACAAGATCCCGCTACTTAAATATTTCTTCGGAATAATTAAATGGACAAAAACAGACCTGGAAAACATAAACATCTTCACAATATCTGAATTGACGAGGAAAAGGAAACTACACTTAAACTCATGTAAAGAGAGAATCACAATAAGCAGGAAGGAAGGCGGGAGAGGGCTAGTAGACTTTCACGTACTTCATGCAAAGCAAATACAAACCCTCAGAGAATACTTCCACAGCAAGCAAACTTTATTACACTCAGGAGTCGCGCAAGCAGAAAAATAATATACACCACTTAACCTCTCTCAGTCTGAAACACAATCACAGCAAATACAAACACAACAACAGAGAATGGAGGAATGGTCACAAAAGAAGCTACACAGAAAACACTTGTACAACATGAACAACGAACAGATTCAAAAACAAGAATCATAAAGATGGCTACAGAAAGGACAACTCTACCCAGAAACAGAAGGCATACTCGCCATACAGGATAAGGTGATAACGACCATCAGGAACTACCAGAAATATATATTAAAAAATATAGAGATAAGCGACTTATGCAGAAAATGCCACCAACACCAAGAAACTATTGATCATGTAGTAGGAGGATGTGAAATATTGGCAAGCACATCATACACAGATAGACACAACATTGCAGTTAAAGTAATTTTATTTTATTTTTTTTCACGGATATGCGCACTCGCATGGAAATGTCCTATCACGCTCGAGAAGCGGCAAGCATTACACCAAGCATTGGCCCATAAATATGGCCTAATCAACACAGAAACACCATATTACCACTACACGCCAGACAGTATACTTGAGAACAAGAGTTTCAGACTCTGCTACGACATAGATATACGCACGCTCAAAACTGTACAGCATAACAGACCAGATCTCACTCTGATAGATAAGGTAAATCAAAACACATATCTAGACATAGCAATACCTACAGAGAAGAACATCAGCAAAAAGTACGCAGAAAAAATTGAAAAATATACGCCCTTGGCAATGGATGTAGAAAGAATTTGGAAACAGAAAGAAATCCACATTATACCATTTATAATGTCCGCAACAGGCATAACACATAAAGCATTCACTCAACATCTGCAGCTAGATACAGTCATACATGAGTACATACAGAAAGCCATAATACTTAAAACAAAATAGCCCGAACATTCCTCAAGTAGGTGATAATTTCACTAGGTAGACTTGGTACCCAACTGTCTGCCTAGGGAGAAACCGGTTGAATCCGAGAAAACATTCGAATGATGATAATAATAATAATGAAGAGAGAAAACCCCATGGATCCAGCGACACTTATGACGGACGACGCCAGGACACTAGCAAACTGGAATGCTGCAGGTAAGGATGGAGTCCAGAACATCTGGTACAAAATATTTACTTCGGTTCACGAATGTATGGCATTACAGTACAACAAGATAATAAGGAAACCAAAGCAACTCCCTAGTTTCCTTGTAAGTGGGTTCACCTACCTTCTTCCTAAGTCCAACAATACCAAAGATGAAGTTTGATTTGCACCACCTGAATGGAGATCAACAACGGAGGCTGCTTTACCAGGTACAACTAAAAACAAGGCAACAAGAAGCTGCAGAAAGTCTACGAGAATTTGAAGCCGACATCCGCCGTCCGTTTACTTTGGCCTACCCGGAAGTACCAGTAGAAATGCGTGAACAACTAGTGACCGAAAATTTTATACATGGAATTAGAGATATTGATGTAGAGAATACTGCTCATAACCAAACCATCAAGGCCCTAGAAATTGATGTAGCCTATAAGATTTCCGAAGCAAAGATTAGAACTGTGTTGATTCGTGAAGAAAAAAAGCCAATTTGAAGGAATTTCTAGAAGAATTACGGAAGGCTGTTATCAGAATCAAACTGGGAAACTTAAAAGAGGGCATTAAATGTTACTGCTGCGGAAGAAGGGAACATTTTAACCGTAATAGTAGAGTACTGTTGAGATCTCGCTTTCCTTTTATTGACTCTCAGCCTTGAATGGGCAACTTGAACAAGAGCTTCGCATATAACTAACCCAAACGTAACTGTCGAGTACAACTAAGATCTCGCTCTCTTTTTGATGACTGTCAACCTGCGACTGAGAACTTGCGAGACCGAGCATGCCCAGATCAAGACAAGAACTGCCTTAAAATTGATCAGCTAAAAAGAGTTCCTGTTAGAAGCATTCGATTGGATGCGGATCAAGAACGGAGTCCGGAGCAGCTAGGAAGTGAACAACTGGAAGAGAGTGACCTCAACCTCGAATCATTTTTGGAGATTAGGAAAGCCGAAACAAGGAAATTGGTCTATTACGACTGATGCTGATCCAGAGAAGGTTAAAGTTATCTTTCAAACTGCGAATTTCCATGAAGAGGAGTGCTAGGAGTGCTGCGACCATCCACGAAAGCGCAGGAAAGGCAGTTCACAGTATCGCTATCAACAGGGAACAGGACCAGGTAGCCATTCGTCTTATATCCATGACGTCAATCCAAGGAAAGTACGTGGATCTGGGAAGTCACGAAGGCCGAGCTGTGTAAGGCACAGTGTTCAGGTCGCAGTCTACTTAGACAGGCATAGAGATGTTAGGCGACAGAAGAGATTTGTCTTGGTAGGTAGTGTTAGAGCAGGATGATCTTATTTGAGAAGGAGGCAGTGTTAGGGAATTGCCTTGGGAGCACGGTCAGATTCCGAGAATTGCAATTCTCTGCGCATTGCGCAAACAATTCGGAGGATTCTCTTTAAGTAGAATGCCGGGTTTTTCCTAGATAAATCCCGAGTATACTGTCTTCTATAAATAGCGCATAGTAGTAGCTTTAGTAAATCAGTTTTAATTCGATATATATCGTGTCTGTTTCGAGAAGTGATAAGTGAATTTTGTATAAAGTCAATTAATCCATTAAAAGTTGTTGCTGTTTGTGAAAGTGAGTTTTCGCGAACCCGCAATCCATGAAAATACGTAAATGCAATATACTACTTATCAACTTACGCCAAAGCAACCTCTTCCTCAGTATCCCGGTCACAATCCATCGATTCTCGCAATCGCCTATGCTTGTTTTTTCGAACTTTGATGTTTAACGGCCGCATCCGTGTCAGAGATATTACTTCTGACAAAAGAGTGGAATTCGACTGGGTTCTGGCTGCCATCGGAATACTCGTGCTCGAGGCTGAAATGGATAATCCTATACAATGATACTATACAAAGCAAAATATCTCTTTGATAAAAAGAATCATACTAATTAAAAAAGATTTAGTGATCTTAAACTGAATTTAAAATACGCTTTATTATAGGAAATGCTCCTCTGGCAAAGCACATTTTTGGGGTTGTTTTGCCATTCTCTACCTTCATCAGTCCTTATAAATTAATGTTTGGAAATCTCCAATTGAAAGGTATATCATTACATAATCAATTAGTGAAACAAGGACCGACAGAGAACTTAAATTTACAAATACATCTTAGGTCTAACTACCCCTGTGTGGGACAACAATCCACTACATTTGCAAGTCTCGTTTAGTTACCTATCGTAGAATGAAGTTCACTAGTTTACAAAACTACTGCCTTGCGTGACAAATTATTCAAAAACCTTTGAACTTTCATATATCGATATTATTTTGCAATCCCAATTTAGTTATTACAGTAAACTTTCTAAAGACTTCAGTCAGACTGTTGCCAACTTTATTTGATAGAATTTCTTTGTCGACTGAAATCTTTTAGTTATTAGTTAATGAATTACCTGCTAGCGAATCTTGATCCTCGAACTGCGCTACTTGGTATTTCCTGTACCGGAATAGATACTGAAGTCCCAGAAGAGCGGTGGCAATAATCAAGCCGCTAAGGAAAAATATAGCGGCAATGTGTACGGCCGTTAACTTTAAAACGGCCACTGGGATTGCGGAAGCGACGCTATGGGCGACTAGCACTTCCGTTATGTTTAGTTTTATTAGCTCTGTAATGGAACATTAAGACTTAGTGTGATTACTTTTACTTGAAATTGTCTTTAGGGTAAGCAACAAAACACCTTCTTAGTTTAAATGAAGGATAAAGGAAACTAAATAAAATACCCACTTATCTGACTGGCTTCAGCTAAAAATCCTCCGTCGCATATCTGACTGCCCATGGCCAATTCATCCGAGTAAAATTCCAGTAATAAATTTGGTCCTGTAGAATTTACAACGGACGGTATTGTTCCAGGCTGTCCCACTAAATCGTTTAATAATGCTGAAGATAAGGAACTTCCATCCCTGATTTTCAACCATTGATTGCCGCATGGTAAGTTGAACTGTTCGACTCTGAATTGGATTATGCAATCTTCGTCAGCCTAGAATTAGTTACAAAATATATTGAAATTGCGATGAGAAAAAAGTATGTATACATACCTGAATCAACCAAAATGTCCTACCAGGACAACTCTGACTGGAAGTAGCTAAGAGTCGTTTTGGTTTGGCTTGGCCCAAATGTACAACGCATCCACATCGGCAATAGGGTCCAACTTCGGCTTGGATTTCCGGCATTTCTGCGGGTATTATGTTACTTCCTGAAATGGCACCTCCATAGATGCATTCCCAACTTGATCCTAAGCCCACTCCACATTTTTCTGTTTCTACAGAAAGGCCCTGAGAATAAAGAACAAAAATAGTTATTCGATAATTACTTGTATGTATTAGCAAACAATATATGTATATGATAGTTTTTGGAAAATTCACATACTTAAGAGATACACTGAGAAATGTAACTCGCATGAATGAAAGTTTGTACTTGGTAATAAGTTATAATATACCTAGTTTAATTCAACGGTTTAAAGTGTTCTGCGTGGACTTTTTGGCAATGATAACGAATTGTTAGGAACTGAATTGGTGCGGAGAGACCAGCGCCGTTGTTGATGAAAAAGAGCAAGAGTTCATGTATTCCATTGTGTGAATGAATAATAGTTATTAATGATACTAGTTCGATATGAACGCCATAATGAAATGCGTGTAACATTAAACCACGAGGCTTTAGCCGAGTGGTTTAGTTACACAAGTTTCATCAATACAGTTCATATCGAACGTGTATCATTCAAAATTTAATCTACTATCACCCAAATAGATTTGATTTCCCTTGAAATAGCAAAAATTTTTCAAATTAAAATTCAAAATTTAGCAGATGCCCGTACTAGTCGGGTACCTGCTTGTTGCTTTTTAGAATTTTGACTTTGGCAGGTTCAATATTGCAGTCCATTTTTGTGCCATAAATTCAGTTTTATAGTGGAAAATAATATTAATATTGGTGATTCTGAGTTCGAAAGTGTCCCTTCGTATATCGAGACAGCATCAATGAAAAGGTTCTTCTGGTAACTAACTTTCTTTTTGTATACTTTTCATTTCATAATTTGAGTGTTTTTATGAACTCTTAACCGCACTAGTGCTATTATGAAGAACCTAACGACATTCAAATGGCAATGCTAAATGTGTCATAATGACACCGACGTAGATTAGCAAACATTAACGTGGTTCTAGAGTTTTTTCTATTGAATGTGTTTTTATATTACATTGAGTTGCTCAAAAATTAGATATAGGATTCAGGATTCTTGCAAGAAAGCCCATACTAACTTCAAGGGATCAGACAAAGAGTGGATAACTCAGGAAATTCTAATTCTCATAAATGAAGAAACTATGAAAATAATAGCAAAATACAAAGTTGTTCAGGCAAAGACATCCAGAACGAAATTAGAAGAAAACTTCGCCTGGCCAAGCCAACATTTTATAGAGACGAATAGAAGACAAATAGGATATGTTTAATCTTCATAAGAAGATCAATACGGGACTAAAAAGACAGAAAGTGATTACCACGCTTCTGGAGGAAGACGGAAGAATATACGAAGAAGATAACAAGATTGCACTTTTTAATGATTTGATTAATGATGATGGAGATGAATCCAAAAAATATAGGTCTATATATTTCAGAAGGTGGAGTGAGACAGGCCATTTACGGTATGCATAACTGGAAGGAGTCTGGATATGAATAGTTCTTTATTTGAAAATATAAATAAATAATCTTATTTGATTTTTTGAATTACATAAACAACAAACAGCACCTGGAGTCGCTCTCGTAAATTTTCACTTTTTACACATTCTCCAGAAACTAGTAAAAGTTATTGTAAAACACAAAGACATGAAAATTTGGTTTTCCTAGTGGGCTGAGAACTATAGAAAAGGACTCCATCTACATGGATTTTCATGAAGTATGTGATAGACATTGCTATAAACCTATAGATATTTTAGAATTTTAGATAACAACATACACTTAATACATTATCTGAAACTTATACTACGAGTAAATATGAAATAAATTTTTACCTAAGCAAATAGGTATTTTCTAACAAAGAGCATACTTCCTAAATAAAACACATTTTTATAATAACTCCAAGATTTTTATTTTTGTTAAAAGTGTATTTATGTATTTTCTGGATCTTTCTCTGGATTTTCTTCAGATTTTGGTTTCAATTTTGTATCTGACTTCAATATTCCTTTTGAACTAGGAGTCACTAATTCTTTAGATTGTCTAATTGTTTTAGCAATCGATTCTGATTCGTTTGATCCTCCCCTTATTTTAGTAACAGATTCTTCTTTTTCGAGAACATCTAATTCAGATCGACCCTTACCACTAGTCCCTTCAAACATCACTTTGCTTTCACTTTGATGTTTTTCTGATTTCAATACATCAGCACTTAGTCGATTTTTGCTTCTATTACCAATATCAGTTTTCGATTTCAGTAGTTCCATTTCAGATGCGGAAAGCGCTTTTTCAGCAAATGGATCGAATTCGACACTATCATTTTCAGATTCTTCTTCGGCAGCTTCTTCTTCATTGAAGAATAACACACTTGTTTTAATTTCCACCGATCCAGTTACTTCCTCGTTTTCGATATCTTCAATAACATGTTCAGAAGAAATATATAGTTCGCTGTCAGTCTTATCTGCATAGCTTTTTTTTACGATGTTTTGACCAAAGTCTTCGACTTTAAGAAATTCTTCAAAGCTCTCTCCGACCTGGCAGAACATGTTCCGTTTTGTTAAACCTTCAGGTCGTGGATCTGTTATCGGCTTGGGAACGAACCCTAAATCACCTAAAGCATATATAGCATCAGCTGATGTAACAGTTTCTAAAGAAGGTTTTTTAATTCGTGCTTCATGGCCTTTGCTCAATAAAGAAAATAAAGTGTTTAAAAGGTTTTCACGTTTTGATGATCGAATAGAAGTACCACTTTCAGATTTAATTGTTAACGCTTCTTTGATGCAACTCACACCTGCCATTAAAATATCATCCAGTCGATCATTTTCAGCTTTAAGAAACTGAACATCAGTTTCTAAACCTGAATTTTCACATTTTATTTTATGTAAATTTTGTTCTAGCAAGCGAATTTTATGTTCCAACAAAACGTTTTTCTCTATTTCTTTTTCCATTAATTGTTTTGCTTGCCTAGAGTCAGCTTCGTAACTTTTGATTTTCGACACGTCTTTGCGTAGCGCTTGATTCTTGCTTACTATTTTGTCTATAACTTTCCTTTGTACTCGGGATTTAACTAACGCTCTGAGTTTTTCTGTTTCAGAAAGTTCGGCTTCTTGTCGCAATGTCCCATTTTTACTTTTAATATTGTTGTTATCTCGAAATAATTTCTGTTGGGTTTGAATCATGTTATCCAACTCATTATTTACTGCTATATTTTCTCTAATTACTCTGTGCGTTGTTGCAGCTATGCGTAGTTCGGAAGCGTCATGAAACTCGGTGGATAACTGTAAAAGTCTGGCTTCCATGTCTTTTTTCAATTTGTCTTTGCTTATTATGAATTTTCGTTCGATTTCGTAGAGTTCTCTGGTATGTTTTTTCTCTTGCACTTCCATTTTCTTTTCTTGTTCTTCAAATTTTTTTAGTAAGTCATCACGTTGGGATCGGAACTCTTCTAGCGAATTGAGTTTACCTGAGAAAGAAAAAAACAAAATTGGAAACTGAATAAATACCTACCTAGTATGTATATTAATAAATAATTATGTTAAGCTATTAATTTCTTTTATTATGTATTAAAACCATAGACATATAATAAAAGAGAGACTGAATTGTTTACATTTTATGCCGATCAAACATTGTTTTCGCCAGAAATCAATGTTGGCGAATTTCTGCGGATTGCCCTAGATTTACCGCCTGTGTTTGAAAACGTAGGGAATGTTGATTATATTGCATGCTTTATTTGTATCATCTCAACTGAAAATCTTACTACATATATGAATGTGCGTTTTTCCAAATAAAATCTGTAATTTCTACTTATAAAATTATTTAGTTTCTGAATAACGTAAATTTAAAATGTATTAGAGAAATAGCTGTGGCAACACTGTTTACACCAGTGACACGGGATTTGACACATTCGTTCATTTTATGTCAAAAATTGACTATCCAGTGTTGCTGTGCTGTGTTTGGGAATATTTGCGATTTTCAATCAATTTTCAGTGTTTTTTCCGCCTTTTATATTTTATTAGCAACTACAATGGTTCACCAGTGCGTGATCTGTAAAAAAATTGCCTATTCTAACCCTGGATTGGTATTTCGATGGTACGTGAGGTTATGTTTTTTTCAGCCCAAGCAGTGGTGTGGTTAATTGTATATTAAGCGGTCTTAATTTGCATGATCTAGGAAAACCGCACGCCTCTGATAAAGACGGTCGGGGAAATGGAGGGGCAGGTTACAGCGATGCCATTTTTTAAGCCCATCCTTTTCTTACTTATGCATAACTCTGAGGGTATGTATGATTGTAAACAAATAATGATTTTTGAATGAGATGTTCTGTCTCCTCTTTTATTATATGTCTATGATTAAAACTGTACTAGAGTTTTCCTCATAATTTGTCACCAGGCGCCTGATTCTTGAAACAAGCAGTGATCTCATAGAAACAGATTTTCTGTCTTTGTCACATATTTCATATCATGTATAGAACTGAGAAAGACAGGGCACTTGTTCTCATAGGCACCCTGCTTCCACCATTCGAGAATCAGGCACCTGAATATAAGGGCTGCCGGTTGTTCAGTGTTTGCTACGTATTTTGAAAATAGACTAAATCAAAACAAACAGCGGTACGTGATAAATAAGGTGTAGGTGGATGTCTTTGGGTAAACTTCAGGAGACGTCGATTTCAGCCACTAAATAAGCCAATAGGAACCGGATTATTTTATCTACTTGCACCTCAGCGATCTTGTTCCGCTGTTTGTTTGGATTTAGTCTATTCTGAAAACAAATAGACATTTAGTAAAAAATCTTTATGTAAATATGAAAAAATAATCGAACAAACGAGTATCAGAACTGTAAAATTTTGATTTTTTTTTTTGTACTGCTGCCCGATCAAACTTTAGTTTTGAAGACTTCATAAAAATTTCATTGAATGTAGGTCAGAAAAAAATGAGTCTATCTCTATTTTTCCAAAACGAATGGAAAGCTATAGGACCATTTTGCTATCATCAGCAATTATAGCAATACACCTTTGTAATAGGATGCTCTTTCCTTTACCTAACAAATAATTCTAGCATTTAAAACGAATTATCAGTTTAAACAGTAATCGGATTCTCACTGGGCCGTCTGCAATAATCCA